TCTGCGAATTGTACTGAAACATTTCCAGTGCTACAGATCTCATTATTTTTTATAAGTACTCTTTTTTTGGTTAGTTTTGACAGTTACATTATTCTCTAAATTGAACCAAAACTTCCCTACCGTAGCCCATTCTAGATACCTGTTTCTGATCCTTCAGTTCAGTGGGATATAGCCTTGTATTTTGTATCTAAAAGCCAAGAAAATGATTGATGGCCTCCCAAAAGTTGTTTTGTGGTAATCACCTTGGGCTCCCCTTGCTTGTTTCTTTTCTGTTCTTGCTCCAAATACAATTTCCACCAAACGTGAACTCTGGGTAAGTAATCCCAATTTTGAGATCTACCTCTGGTCCTTTGAACTTTGTATTTAGACTTCACATATTTTAAGTCTTAGCATTTCCTAGTGGTCTGCAATTCAGATTGGCATTCTGGTTCTCTGTGCTCAATACTGTCTTGGGAAAGAATCCCAGTCCAGGCAGCCAATTCATTTCATCTTGATGAAGAAGTCTTTCCTGGAGCTTTCTGACCCGCTACAGTTTGCACAGAGCCCTCTACACTTAGTACAGAGCATCAGCCTGGAACCTCCCTGGGAATTTACCTTTTTTCTCTTTTTCCTTGCTCTTGTGTTAGAGCCTCTGTTTATTGTATTCTTTGTTTCCATTATTCATAGTTTACTCCTTTGTTTTGGTTGATCATACCCTCCAATAGTTTCTAAGAAGTGATGCATGGGAGAATGTCTGAAAATGTCTTCATAACTCTAACATTTAAGCAACAGTTAAGCTGTGTGTTAGACAACAATTTTACTCAGAATTTTGAAAGCATTTTACCATTGCCTTTTAAAAAAACTTTTAATTTTGAAATAATTTTAGATTTACAAAAGAGTTGCAAAAATAATACAGAGCGTTCTAGTACATTTTATATAGCCATGCTAAATTTATCAAAACAAAAAATTGGTATTGGTATACTGTTGTAAACTCCAGACTTTACTAATATTTCACCAGTATTTCCACTAATGTCCTTTGTCTGTCCCAGGATCCAGTTCAGGACAGCAGGTTGTAATTAGTCATCATGTTTCCTTAGTTTTTTCCTATCTGTGAGTTGTTCACGATTTTCTTGTTTTTAATGACCTTGACACTTTTGAAGAGTACAGGGCAGTATTTTATAGATTGTCCCACTATAGGGGTTTGTCTGATGTTTTCTCATGTTAAAACTTGGGTTATAGATTTTTGGGAATCATACCACAGAGGTGATGTACTCTTCTTGTATCATATCAGGGAATGCATGATATCGACATGACATATTACTAGTGATGTTAACTCTGATCACTTTTTTAAGGTGGTATCTGCCAGGTTTTTCCACTATAAAGTTACTAGTTACTAAGCCAGTCACTAAGTCCAGTCCCCACTCAAGGGGAGGGGAATGAAACTTCACCTCCTAGAGGGAGGAATATCAAATAATGTGTGGACAGATGTTAAAACCACCACAATAATTAAATATTTTGGGAGAGATACTTTGAGGCTATGCCGATATCTTGTTTCTCCTTAAACGTTTTACTCACTAATGTTATCATTCATCAATGAATCTCAGCCATTGCCTTTTAACTTCCGGCATTGCTGTCAAGGAATCCAAAACTGTTACCATGGAGTCAATTCTGACTCATAGCGACCCTACAGGACAAAGTAGAACTGCTCCACAGGTTTCCAAGGCTATAAATCTTTATGGAAGCAGACTGCCACATCTTTTTCCCACGGTGCACCTTGTGGGTTCAAACCCCCGACCTTTTGGTTAGCTGTGCTTAACCACTGTGCCACTAGGGCTCCTTTAAGAAACACAAAGCCATTCTAATTTCTGATTCTCAGAATGTACCTTTTTTTCTCAGGGAGCTTGTAGAATCTCTTCTTTCTTCCCTGTGTTCTGAATTTTCATCATAATGTACCTTGGCAAGGGACTGTTTGCATTTACCTTGCTGGGCTGTCAGTGGGTTCTTTCTATTTGAAACTTAGATCTTTCAGTTTTGGGAAAGGTTTTCAAAATTGGAAGATCTGAGTTTACTTTCTTCAATATTTCTTCTCTTCCCTCTTCTTTTCTTTGTATATTGGGCCTCCAGGACTGGCGCTCTAATGTTAAAGAACCAGTCCAGGAGGTCCAGTATTCAAATGCTTTTTCCATTTCTTTATTTTTTTCTTCTACTTCAACCCTTCTATTGGTTGTTTCATTTCTATTATATATTTAGTTTCTAAGATTTAATTCTCTTTGAGTATTTCTTTTATGGTAACTATTTTTTTCATTGATAAAATATTTTCTTTTGTCTTTTTGAGGATATTGTGCAATTTTTTTTCCTTTAAAGTTTTCTAAAATTTCTCTTTGCCTTGCCTCTGTTTCCTCCATACTTCATGTTGGCAACTTTTTTCTCAGTTGTTATGTAATCTTTGTGTCTTAGTTTGGATTTTCTAGGGGAAAAAGAAAACTACTTACTTCTCTTCCATCTGCTTTGCTCTCTCTCTCTCTATATACATATATATACAGAGAGAGAGATTGAGATTTCAAGGGATTGGCTCATGCAGTTGTGGGATTGGCAGGTCCAAAATCCACAGGTCAGACAGCAGGCTGGAGATTTCTGCTAGCTTATGTCCCAAGATCCATAGGTCAGGTGATGAGAAGAGTGCAGGGTCCAAAGAGAAATGAAGCTCTCCCAGAACCTCCATCTATATTCTGGAGGTAGATCACACCCCCAAGGATACTCCCCTTTCAGCTGATTGGTAGATCCCATCAGATCACATCATGGAGGGCAATTACATTGCATTACATTACGTTGTGGAACAGCAACCAGTCCAGTGTCTTAAACCACTGAGAATCATAGCCTAGCCAAGTTGACACATAAAATAAATCATCATACTTGGTTACCTGTTCATATTAGGGTGTTTTAATTGGAAGCTTGAAGCACAAGTGAGGCTTGTTGACTGCGAGCTTCATTGTAGGGTGATCTGGCTAGGTTTCCTTAGGGAATATCTGAGGTATGTTTTCCTGGACATATTCCCCAGAAAAGGATGCTTTATCTTCCTGCCTCGCTTGCAAGGCTCTGGCTACCGACATTTGTGGGAGTGGATTGTAGGAGGAGGCAGAGGGTCTCAGTATCCGGTATTCATATACTCACTTAATCCTACTGTTTTCAATACCATACCACTGCCCTCAGCTGTCGCCTTACATTCTCAAGGTAAGAAACCTTCTGTTCTAATTCTCCAGATAATAAATTTCTAGTCATTTGTCAGGTAAGGGAGAGAAGGGAGAGGCAGACACTTGGCCATGAGGAAGAGGGCAAGGGATCTGGATATCTGACCGCTTCTTAAGCAGACTTTCAATTAATTCTTCTTAATTACCCCCCACCCCCACCCCCCACACAAATTCCAGGAGTATCTGTTGCCTCCTGAGCCTTTGGGAGTTGTGTGATGTAAAGTAGATTGCTTCTGAGCTCACCTACTACTGGTTTAGGATTCAGTTTTTTTTCTGGATCTGTTAGGTGTTTTACTACTCTTCCATCTACTTTCCAGTCTTCAACATTTTATTACTCTTAAGCCTCTTTCAAAAGCAGAGGGGAAACCATTGGGGGACATTGACCTGAGCAGTGACAAGATCTGACTTACCTTTTAATAGGATCACTCTGGCTGCTGAGTATAGCCTGAAGTAGATCAAGGGTGGAAGCAGGGAGACCAATTAGGAGAGTATTGAAATAAGGCAAGATAGAGCTTGGACCAGGCTAGTAGAAGTAGCGGTCCATGTGAAACCATCGTGAAAGAATGAGGTCCTATGCAAATGGCAGGTATTATTACTGTTTAGTGGAAACATCGTAGTGTAGGCACAGCTGAGTGCAGTGGAAATATGTTAGAATCAAGGGATGAGATGTGCATATGACAGCATGGATAGATGTAAAAACAAGCCTTGGTGAAAAAAATAAACAGAATGAGACATACATATATATAATCACATAAATAAATTAAAAATACATGCACAGAAGATCAGAATACATTTTGCAAAAAGACTTTTAAATAAAAGGAACTGTATTAAAGAAATTAAGCTCTTTCCGCCATCTTTCTGTGCTGCCGTAATGGTGCATATGATGTCCAGACCAACGCCTTTAAGAGCGTCAATAACGCTGAGAAGAGAGACAAACCCAAGATTCTTATCAGGCCATGCTCGAAAATCATCGATAGGTTTCTGACTGTGATGATGAAGCAGGGTTACATTGGCGAATTTGAAATCATTGATGATCACAGAGCTACGGAAATTGTTGTGAACGTCACAGGCAGGTTAAAGAAGTGTAATCAGCCCCAGATTTGATGTGCAACTCATAGCTCTAGAAAAGTGGCAGAATAATCTACTCCCATCCCATCAGTCTAGTTTCATTGTACTGATGACCCCAGCTGGCATCATGGACCATGAGGACGCAAGATGAAAACACACAGCAGGGAGAATCCTGACATTCTTTTTCTAGGGGTGTAATACGTACATCAAGTAAAATGTCTCAGTGGGAAAAAAAAAATTAAGATGTTTGCCTATGGGGAGGAGGATAATGGCAGTTGGATATAGGGGAAAGGGAAATAAGTGAACCAATAAACAAATAACGAGAGAGGGGAAACTTTTGAATCTATAGAAAATGGGTTGGATCTTAGGTATACTGGACATCATAATGTAATTCTTTGAACCTTAGTTCCCACCTCCGGAAGTGGATTAGTAGTACCTATTTAATATGCTTGCCATAAGAATTAAATGAGACAATCTATATAAAGTGCCTTCCAGAGTGTCTGCTACATAGAATATTCTCAATAAATGGTATATGCTTACTTTCCCCTTCAGGTATTCAACGTTGTAACTATTGAGACTCTAAGAAGTGAAGGTACTTGCTTTAGGAAAAGTATGTGCTGGGTTCTATTATAGTGAGGCGGGGACACAGGAAGTGTGCTACCTTTCCATATGTTCTTAATTCTCATTTTCCTTCTCTCACTGCAGGGCTTACCACCCAAAAGGTGGAAGGCAGAAGTTACCCACCTGAGTTGCCCGGAGCCTACAGTGTTTGCTTTCTCACCTCTGGCTCCACGTGGGAGCCCTTTGCGAGGGATGTGGATACCAAGCTTCCAGCAATCTAAGAAAGAAGCCCAGGCACTAAGGTGGCTGGTGGATAGGAATCAAAACTTTTCAGCTCAAGAGTTTTGGGCCCTTGTATTCAAGGACTAATTTCAGAAAGTATCAGAATGACATAGACTAAAGCCTTCTTGAGGTTGATTTTGTAGGTTGCCTTAATACTTGAATACAATAGTTATTTTTTTAACTATCCTTTAGGATAAGAATTAATTGCTGCAGTACTCATAGGAGCCCTATCAAATAATAGAAACGAATGATCCTAAGGGGTCACCTTTATATTTTTATACTAAAAAAGTAAATATTTCTTATGGACATTGGTCACCTTCAATTTTCATGTCTGGATTCCTGTACCTGCTGCCTTTTGTGGAAATTCTAACGTAGAGTGCTTTCCTTGCTGCCGGGAGGCGGAGGCTCTGCTGTGGATTCGTGATTCTTACTATCAGCAGTTTATTGGTACTTGGCAAGCCCAGTGTCCTGATGCTGAGCATGAATGTGAAATGCATTACAACTTGGCAATGAGAGATTCCATCTGTTGGTTTCCAGGGATGTTACATGAGTAACCAAAGCTGTGTAAAGTTTATCCACTATCTATTCTTCAAGTCAAAAGAACAGATGCATGTCTCTACCTTCTTCTCCTTTCTCTCAGCCGTCTCTCTAGCCTTTTGTTATTTTTGTCTTTCCCTGTGCCACCCCTCTACCCCCAAAGCAGAATGTCTTGTAAAGACACGACTCCTTGTGTGTTTTGATCAGTGAGATGGTCTTGATTATCCCTTATACTGTTGAGTAAAAAAAAACAAGAATTTTATGATTCGGGCTGGATAGCCTGTACATTTTGATGAATGTGAGAGTGGAATTGAATGCCTCCAGGATCTCCCATTGTGTTGAAGCAGATTTGTATTTCTCAGGGCAATGTACAGCCCACAGTGGGAGGCAGCCACAGATGTTCAGTCTGTGAGCATCCCCTGGCATTTCAGATCCTGTCCCAGAGAAGGCTCGGCTGTCTTTTCTGGAGCATGTACTGTGAGCTCCATGGAAGACAAGGCGAAACAACATTGGCTCACATTTTCTTTCCTTGTGAGGGTGGAGAGGCTTCTAGATGTTACTGAAGCCTGTTGCCACCCAGATGTGGCATGACTTCAGTATTCTTTTTTATTTCTTAGTGTGGAAAAGTATATATGACATAAAATTTGACATCAGAGCCCTTTTTAAGTGTACGATTCAGTGGCATTAATTACACTCACAATGTTGTACGACCATCACTGCTGTGTATTTCCAAAACTGTTTTATCCCTGAAACAGAATGGCTTTGGTATTCTTTATTGTGGGAAGGCATAAGCACCCAGGCCAGCCAGAGGATGGGGAGAGTCTGACAGGAAGAGTCTGGCATGGCACAGGGGGAGAACTTAGGAGCGCTCCCTGTGTGCGCCTGGCAGTGAGTAATCCTCATCCTTCCCTATGTAGTTCTCTCTCTGGCCACACCACCCAGCATGTGAAGGATGAGAACTGAGAACAGGACATTCCTTTAAAAGCAAGAGAGTCACATGTTTGGTAGGAGAAGGTGTCTATAATGAGATTATTTCCAATCCCTGCCCTGCCACTAACTAAACATGATCTTGGAGAAATCACTTGACCTTCATGGCCTCAGTTTTTGCATCTAAAAAGAAGTGATTGGCCTGGTCTTGAAGTCCTCTTCTGTGTTGTTGCTGTTGTCGTTAGGTGACCTGGAGTCAGTTCCGACTCACAGCAACCCCATGTACAACAGAATGAAACACTTCCCGGTCCTGCGCCATCCTCACAATTGTTGCTATGCTCGAAACCATTGTTGCAACCACTGTGTCAGTCCATCTTGTTGAGGGTCTTCCTCTTTTTCGCTGACCCTCTATTTACCAACCATGATGTTCTTCTCCAGGG